AATGCCATAGCATAGCCCAACATCCCCAAGGACTTTGCACCACTAACCTCTGTGTAACTTCTCTGATCCCCAGGGTAGGGTGTCTGAACAGCCAGGTTGCTCAAGCCTGGAATGCTTTCATATTTCATTCCGACCCTGTCTGGGGTCCGACAGGTCACTGATCAGTTGAAGAGGCTGATTCAACTCTAGCTCAATCTCAGATCTTTATGCAAAGCAGGATTCAGCTATTTCCTAACATGACAACAAATTTAGGTAACTCTCTAGTTAATTCATTGCCTAGGACAGTGATGGCGAACCTTTTGAGCTTGGCCTGTCAGCATTTTGAAAAACCCTAACTTAACTCTGGTGCCGTGTCACATATAGAAATTTTTTGATATTTGCAACCATAGTATAAAAAAGATTTATATTTTTGATATTTATTTTATATATTTAAATGCCATTTAACAAAAATCAACCAAAGAAATGAGTTCAAGTGTCACCTCTGACACGCGTGTCATAGGTTCACCATCACTGGCCTAGGATGATTGCAGTTAAAATCTGACTTGCCCATACCACCAGATCTCTCCGCCCAAATAAAACCAGCTCATCCATGATTTAATGTGCATATTCTATTTAATTCAGACCTCACCCTTTCCCGTGTTCACGCATGGAAAACAACAACAAAACCAGAAAGATGCCTTGGCACTTAATATTTTTTATGATATAAAAGATGTTGTACTTTATTAATAAGTTAATGCAAGTGAGACAATTCTGTTAACCATCAGGAATGCCCTCAGGAGAATTCTAAGGAAGAATTTGAACTAAAACAGACCATCACATTAATATGTTAATTTTGCCTATAGGATTGAATCCTGGTTGATCAGATGACCTCTGCTCCTCCTTGCTAGAAATTGGATGTTGAGTTAAATGCCTGTGTAATATGAGTCAAGATATCAATAAGAGAAATGACAGTAATGCTGACTGCTACATAGTATGGGCACTTTGCTGGCTGCAAATTCTTGTCACCCTCCTGCCAAGGTTGCTATTACAAAAACAGACACATATTTCATTCAATCATAAATGATGAAATAGATTTTTGAAAAAAATGAACACATTATGTCTGTCAGTAGTTGCAAAAGTAACCCTTAGAATGCATTAAACCTGCATTTAATTTTTCTCCTGAAAATGATCTTTCCTTCTTTACGTTCATTTTTTTATAATGGCATTTAATTTTGTATCTAAATGTAATTTAGAATGCAGTATCTATGAAATCTGAAAAAAAATCATTAAAAAGGAGTGCTCTTTAAATCAAATTTATGCTAGTCTCAATTACTAATAACTTACTTCCCCCAGTCTGAACCAGAATCTTTTAACATATTTTTCTCACTCACATACCTGCGTGGCCTCAGCATCCTTCCTCTGCTTGCCAACAGGAAGTTTTTGTCCTTACGAGAAGGAGGACGTATGTAGTGACATTGTGTCACCAGTAGCTCTTGCCCTTTCCTCTAACTCCTATCAACAGTATGTGCTGTAACTATAGGGCCACTGCCGCCAAGGACAGCTGGGAACCAGACAGGGAAGTCACACATGAAATTGTGACAGAAGTTGGCTGGAAGCATCATACTAGGACTAGCATGAGGACGCACCCCTGCTTCTTTCTCTTCTGATCTCAGGGTCCCTGTTGCACCTGCCATCACTGGACAAGCAGACACCTTCTGTGCTACACTCTTCTCTCTCCGTCCTTAAGGGCATTGTTGTCCTTTCCTCCACCATTTCACAGAATACCCAACATGCATTTAATCATATATATTTTTAAGTAAAGTTAATGATAAAGAGTATTATAATACTCAATATAGAACATTTAAAATTTTAAGATATCAGCTCTAGGTGTACTGTTTAAGACATTTGCTGTTAACTTTTTCTGTGTTAATAATTTACTTTTTTAACATGCTTGAAATTATACCATAAGTTACTGTAAATATACAAAAGGTATACATTTTGTTCCAGTGGTTAGTTTTTAGCTTATTGTTCAAGAACATTTACCATGCATTTACAGTGTCCTTATAAACATCAATTGAATATTTACTGCTTATAAAAATAATATTGTTTCACTATAGAAACCTTAGACAGTTCAGAATGGTAAAAAGTAATAAATAAAACCATCTCTATTTCTTCTTCTCAGCCTAATTGTATGTTTTTCTAGATCTTCTGGAGATATAATTGGGTTATTCTTTATACAGAGCTTATTTGTTGCTTTCTATTAACTTGAGAGTTTTACTAAATTAATTCATCATAGGATGCATGCCATCTAATTAATTGTGTCTTTAGTATAGGATATTTATTATTCCTTTTTTGTTTTTGCTGCTGTAATTAAGATAACAATGAACATTCTTGTTCATAGTATTTAATTACAATTCTGGTAATTGTGTTAGTATAGGTTCCTATATATGAAAGTATTGGTTCAAATGAAATGAACATTTCAAAATTTTATACCACATAACTTAATTGTTTTATATGAAGGCTTTACCAATTTAAACTCCCTAACAAAAGTGTGTGAGACTTTATCATCCCTAAGTTTTAAAATATTATTTACTTTGCAATTTTAATGAGATTGACGTTTTTTATATGCTTGTTAGCCATTTATAATTCTTCTATTAGCCACTCTCTTCATTTTTATAGCAAGTTTAAACAACTGATTTTCAAAAAGCAATTTCCAGTTATTGGAGGTATCATGTATGTTAGCTATTATCTTAGAACTTTATTTGCATCTCCTCTAATTGTAACAACAATCTAGCTAGACACATATTACAGGTTATCTTAGTTTTATAGATGATAAAACTGCAGCTCAGAAAATTTAAGTAACTTGCCAAAGTTATCTAACTAAAAAGTGTTTGAAGTAGGATTCCTACCCAAAACAAAACAACACCCAAGCCTGACAAGCTTCATTACTAAGCTCCTGCAAGAGAAACAGTGCAGCTCATAACATGGAAAACACACAACACACACACACACACACACACACACACACACACACACACACGCGCACGCGCACACACACACACACACCAAAACAAAGCAACACATCAGCCCAAACCTCCGCATCATTGTTACCACTGAGTGGACATCACTCCCAGCCTAGCTCCATGTACATTCTAAAGAGGGTAGGATGGAAAGAAGCATGAATGGAGATTATGTCTCACTGCACACATGTGTCAATAGATTGAGAAAAATATCTATGAGAATGAATGACACAATGCATTTAAAAATAATACCTCTAACAGAATTTCATTTTATACTATTTATGCTGCAAATTTTTTTTGTGTGTTTGTATAATCATACTTTCAAACATTTTCCTTTGGTTTTTCCCAGAATTGAAAGCAAAACAAAATCATATTTTGTTGTTGTTGTTTTTTGTACATTTATAGTTTCTTGTTCTAACATTTAACTCTCTAACCATGTACAATTTATTTGGGAGGTTTAGTTTCTTCTAAAACACTAAATGCATTACCTAGAGGCATCCATTGAATGACTCTTCCTTCCCCCCACTGCTGTATATTCTTTGTCATGTGAAGTCCATATTAAGGACTTTTAAAATGCTTTCCCTTCTGCATCTGAAGCTCATCTTTGTACCATTGACAACAAATCATCTTAGAAGCAGGATATCACATAATCAATACTCTACCTTATTTTTTTTTTAAAAAAAAGGTCATTTAAGTGACATAGACCCTAAAGCAGCGGTTCTCAACCTGTGGGTCACGAACAATGAAAATACATCCTACATATCAGATATTTACATTACGATTCATCACAGTAGCAAAATTATAGTTATGAAGTAGCAACAAAAATAATTTTATGGTTGGGGGTCACCACAACATGAGGAACTGTATTAAAAGGTTGCGGCATTAGGAAGGTTGAGAACCACTTTTGGAAAGGATTATGATTATGTTCTGATTGTGAAAACAAAATCCAGATACAAATGAGTCCATTGCCAATGTGCTTCTGTAGTTTGGACAAATCTAGTGGAGAGAATACAACCACCAAAGTCTGCATGAGCAAGGGTGGTGGTATTGAATGATAGGCACCATAATGATGAGGAGATATCACACCCACTGGCAGAAAAGGAGGAGAACAGGGGTCCCAATGCTCTGGACCAGCGATGTGGAAGGGGTGGGGGGTGTGCCCTCCTGGCCACCAGCATTCCAGAATCATCATCCATCATGGAGGGCTTTCTTTGCAAGGAGAATCCTCATGCACATTCCTTCGTGCTGCCACCACACTCCTCACAGAAGCCAGGTTGTCAGGGCTGCTGTCACCAACCAGGTTTTCTTCCTTCTTTCCTCACTCTCTACGAGGGTTCCAACATCTGTGATTTAAACCACCCAAGACTGTTGCAAATTCCAGTGTAGTTTACATTGGCTAGGGAAAAGTACCACAAGGTACTTGATTGATTTCTTTCCATTTTAAAACCAAGTTGCATGTTCTTTCTTCTTCTTCTTTATTCGTAAGAATTCCTTTAGGAAGATCATAATATGAATTTTGAAGAGGCTGAATTTAATCTATCAAAGAATAAGCATGTGGCTTATCATTTAGCTCATATTGTACCTATGTGTGATGAAGAAATTGCTTGATTCCTGCTTGTGTAACCTAACAAGATAAAGTATTAGCAGATGAGAGTCACTTAGCAGGTGGGCACAAATACCTTTAGAGAAAGGAAATCTAGAGAAGACACAGGACTGTTTCAGAAAAGCAAATATTAAGCCACCCCATGTATTTTTATATTTTAAACGTAGAAATCAATTTCTTTTAATGTTCTCTGTTTGAATCAAGGCATTAAAATAGCACTTTCCCCTCTAATTTTCGGAGTTTTTCATCGAACTCTTCGGTAATTATTTGCATGCTGGTACTTCAAATTAGCAGGGTTATGCTAAGTGGCCAGATTTCTCTGTTCTGAAGTAGCAAGGGGCAGGGGGTCCTGTAAGAGCTTGAAGTATGCCTACTCACTGTTTCATTGCTCATTTCAGCATGCAGCCTTTGCATATCGGAATATTGGACATCTTTGGTTTTGAAGAATTTCAAAAGAATGAATTTGAACAAGTAAGTGTTTGTTTTTGAAATTTGATAAACTTTAAAATGTTTTCCCCCTCTAATCAGTTAGCTGTTTTTAATTCATTAGAGACTATTTGCATAATTGCTTTCAAATACATAATTAAAAGAAGTACTTTGCCATTCTGTTTTAAAATTAATGTCCCTGCTTTGTTGACAGTTTATCGTTTCTTGTGTGATCTTGTAAGCAACTGGCATAATCGTATTTTTGAAACAGAGGCACTTGTTTTGAAAGACAATGCTTGATGAAGCGCTGAGTTGTGCTTATGCTGTTTCAAGTAGGTCAGAGAGACAGACGGAGGGCATCTGTATTTGAAATCAGGGCAAAGATCTTCAGAAAGCTTGGCCAAAAAATCAGAATGGAAATACTCTCTTATGCTAAATGCTGTTATTTGTAGGTTCATCTTTACGTGACATGCATACATATGACTATGTCAAACTCATGGAAATAGATTAAAGAGGCATTGATTATTTTTAATCCATTTACAATTTAGGGCACCTTGAAAGGCACTAATTTGTTTATGTATCTTAATAGTACTGGATAAATAGTTTGATCAAGTTAAGTATATCTAAAAATTAAGTGTTAAAGAAGAGAGTAGAAATAGAATTTGCCTTACCAGGCAGACTAAGAAAAATAAACTTGAAAAAAAGATACAAGTGGAAAGGTAGAAAACCAAGCTGCACACGAAGAATTACAACTCCCCAGTGTTTAGGGAGAACTGCTAATAATTGCATAACTTGTGCAGCTGTCCTTTAAACTAGATGATGGGGTGGTAAAGGACACTGGACAAGGAATTAAATAGAGTGAGTTTGAAACCTAGTTCTGTGACTTCTATTAGCAAAGCTTCTGGGCCGAGATGAAGGGTCTATAATGAGCTTGGATTTAATATTCTGTAAAATTAGAATTATTCTAGATTTATACAATTGTGAGATTAAACAAGATTACTGTTATAGAGATCCTGATGTTTTCTGGCTCACTGTACCTGTTCAAGAAATGGTGGGTAGCAATCCTTACTGTTGTAAATGGGAACACTGGAAAAACTTTTAAAATTCAGCTATATATTTTTTTCCTTAAAAAGATGATACAGCATCCTGTGAGTACATCCTAAATCATACTTACTTACTTAATCCAGGGTGAGTCATCATGAATCATGTTTTTTAGAAAACATTCCAAAAAACCTAGAATGAAATAAGCTGAAGACCATAGATATTTTTCTCTTTTCATACTTTTGTATCCATGGATTCGTAGAAAAAAGAGGACTTCATGGTTGTGCTTATTTATTGCTTTTAATAAGCAATAAAAAAATATATATATATAAAAAGAAAAACGGTGATGAAAATAAGGAAGAGAGCAGTTGAAAGCATGATCAGTTAATGCCAATATGTGATGTACTTCTCAGTGAAGTGTTTGAAAGGTAACTGGCAGCCATATGGATTCCTCACATTTAAACCTTAGAAAACTTACACACTTTCATGTCTGTGATGAGACTCTCTGGATTCTCCATCACGTGCTAACATGTAGAAGTCACAGGTGAAATGATGTCAAGGCCTCTACTAGGAGCCATGCTCTCAGCACCCTGCTTCACACCCCAACACAGTCATCTATCAAGACTGTACTGGTAACTGATATTTACAAAACATGTATGTTATTTTCTTATTAAACATTTTGTTTCACTATAATTATGTATATCCCATATTATTCTTTCATTCTGGTAAATATTTGAATAATATGTTTTAGAATAGATTCACATCCTGAGATTTTTATATAACAAGGAATGACATTTTTTCCCAAATCCTAAGAATGAATCTCTATTAAAAAGCAAAAGGTAGTTTTAGACATTTATGGATAAAATCGCAAGACCAATTCTTAGACAAATTAATATTTTAAAAATATCGATACATTTTTCTTAGCAGGTGTGCTTTGCTATTGTACACAATAGTAACTAGAAGCCATTTAGAAGTATGAAATCATTTTCTTAGTGATGAATCCCAAGTCATTTACAGTGGACTTAGTAAATTCCTAAATTTGCCTGGGAACTTTTTAAAGGCCATTGATTTGAATGATACATTCTAGTTTCTTGAGTTGCTAATAGATTGTGAACTTTCTTATTTTTTTATTTCATTGGAAACTTTCAAAGAAATGCTTAATAAACTGATATTATATTCAGACTCAAACCCAGACAAATATTATTGCCTTTATAAGTGTTTAGTTTTATTCAGTTTTAAGCTTTTGACCCATCTCTGAGATGTTCCTTGGTATATCAACTTCTACAGGGTTGAAGTTGTATTTGATGCAGCATTTTGTATATACTAGAATTTTAACAACTGTGTTCTAAATTGAAATTTTACATATAAACTCATGAAAAAATATCTTCACAGTGTATTTCCTAGTTGTTCTCCTTGCTGAAGGATAAATGTATGTAGTTCTTGACAATTGTTCCTCCATAAGAAACTTAACAGATGTTTAGAAAAGGGACAAATTGGAGGAGATATAATAAGCATATTAAACCATCAGCTTCTCCAACCTTGGTATCCTCAAGTAGCTCTAAAACAATGGTTCCCAACCTTTTTTGGCCACACCCCACCTAAGCATCTCTAAAATCCTGATGCCCCCCTGTGACATGTAATTCTTATTATTCAAAAAGTGAACTCCTATTCATGTGGAGGAAGCCTAAAAGGCCATTAAGTTGGTTTAAACAAGCTTTCAAAGAACATAGCATCTATGAAAGAGAAAAATAAAAGAACAAAAGGACAGTTGAAGTACTGAGGAAGAAATCACTCAGAAATTGTTAAAAAATAATAATATGAAGTAATATCACAAAATAGCAAATAAAGTTTCAAAACATATGATAGAGAACTGAAATCCATACATATGTCACAATATGTATTTACTTACTATATATGAGGCCGCTAGAACCATAAGAAATGAAAAATATTCACTGTTAATAACTCATCTTGAATTGCCCCCTTAAAAGTCAAATTGCCCCCTTAGGGTGTGTGCCCCATGTTGGGAACCACTGCTCTAAAAGATTAGATGAATGGTTGTGATCCTTTAGATAATAATTTGTTTCAGCTCATAGGAAGTGTTAATCCCATTTTCTTTGACACTTAAATAACTTTTACTTTGAGCTATTTCATATATTATAATAAACACCATATTTAGAGTAACAAACACCATATCTATCAGCATTAGTCTGATGATTCAGTGGAGAAGGGCATGCTAAAAATTGAGTCCTAAAGTACCTAAGTACCTATGGAGAGGCTCTGCATGTATTGCCTTGATTAAGTAATTACATTATTATCAGCTTACTTTCTGTTAGGTAACACAAACTTTATAAACTCTCTTTTATTATGTGAAGTTGATCTCTAGCACTGTAAGGATATCTCCTAAGCCACTCAAAGGAAAGCCTCTCCAGTTGACTCTTCAGCATTATGCAGTGAATTCCAGTTTATAATGCTCGATAAGTACAAAGATGATTAAAAAAGGGGTACCTTCTTACACATTGCAATGCCAGTGTTATTAGAAAAGAGAAAGCAACTCAAGGCAACAAGTAGAAAGGTATGGTAAAAATATTTCTACTTCCAGAGATGATTATATATTAAGGAAACGAATGAATGAAAACAATGAGAGAACTTGTTAAAGTTGTAAAATCTTCATGTAAAACCAATGACTTTTATATATTTTTAAAACACCTTTTCAGAAGACAGATGGAAGAAAACATTGTTAAAAATGAGTAAATAGCCCTAATTGAGGGAATCTGTAAAATGCTCTGGAAAGTCACATAATTACACTTAAACAAATGGAAAGATATACTGCATTTTTAGAGAGAAAGGCTTAATATTATAAAGATGCTGATTCTCTCTAGATTAATTTATAAATATAACTTGATGCAGTCCCACTACAAATAAATGAAGAACGGATGACAGAATCAGAGCAATTCAATTTTGCAGCTCCTACTAAGTAATGAAGCTAGGCAATGAGTATCAATCATTACTAACATTACCAAAAGAGTGACAACAAACACAAGATGTATGTCAAGTGTTCTTGGAAGAAAGGTAGGAAGGTAGGAAGGTAGGAAGGTAGGAAGGTAGGAAGGAAGGAAGGAAGGAAGGGAGGAAAAAAGGAGAAATTCTGAATATAATGAAGTTTTGTGAGCTAACTACTAATTAACAGGAACAGAGGACAGCATAACATGTTAAAACTAGGGAGTGCATGCTGCAAAATCCAGAATGTGGGAAACTGCAGGACAAATAGCGTAATTTCTTCAACATATAAAATACAAGAGTAAAAATGTAAAAGCAGAAGAGTGACCTATAGATTGAAAGAGATATAAGAGATACACAAGTCAGTTAATTATTTGTACATTATGAAGATCCTGATTTGTTTAAATATAAAAATATGAGGTATGGATGTAATGTGAAATCTAGATATTTGAGAAATTAAGAAGTTAATGTTGATAGAAATAGTGTGTGATAAAGGAAATATGGATGTATTTTCAAGTTCTTATATCTTAGAGAATCATACCAAAAAATTTTCCAGTTAAATGACACAATGTCTGAGAATTAATTCAAATGAGACTAGTTTTGTGGGTATTAGGGAAATGGATAAAGCAAAATTAGCATTGAGTTGGTAAGTGTTGATGATTGTTGAAGATGATTGATGGTAGAAGGAAGTCCATTACATTATCCTCTTCACTGTTTAATATTCTCCATAACATACTATTTTAAATAAATATAAATGACTTTCCCCAAACAAGGATGGAGAAAGAATAGAAAGGCTCTGCAATCATAGGAAATTCAAAGAAGGCAAAATAAACTATAGAATCTTACAAATGAAACTGATCTGTCCTTCACTTGAGGGAAAAACATAAAACAGTCCCATAAACCACCAGTAATTCTAAAAAGTGAGTTGGAGACTCACAGTACACTTGGCACAGTAAAGGCCCTAAAAGGTCTTGCAGAGAAGTTCATTAGCTTAGCCCAGTGTTTCT